GAAAAACATTTTTTTTTTTAAAGGAACTTCTTTACGTAATCACATGTGTAACACATAATATTTTATATAATATTTATTTATATATTTATATTTTATTATATTATATTTATATATTATATATATATTATATTTTATTATATTATATTTATATTTTATTTTATTATTTATATAATATTTTATTTCTAATAAAAATTATGACAGTTATTATGAGAATTTAAATATAAAATATAAGTTATTGTTTTATTTTAAAACATTAAAAATTGTTGAATTTTTTTTGTATATTTTAATAATTTTTAACGAATAAAATTTTTAAAAAATATTAATTTAAGTTCAAGAATGTATAGTTTAATGTTGATTTGATAATGTTAGTGTTTTTTAAATACTATTATAATGCTAGTGCTATTTATAGTTAGTGCTTTAGTGCTATTTATAGTTACTAAATTACTAGGATTATCTAATTGGTCTGCAAATGGAGTTATAAAAGCCATATTATTAATTTGTATTCATAATCTTATTGGTTTATATAGGCAGGCGGAAAAATATTTAAAAATATCACAATCAAACAGTGAATTTTTTGCATTTTAATTTTTTTTAATAATTTAAATATATTCATTATTTAATTATTTTATTAAAAATAACATTAATATAATATAATATAATAAATAATAAAATATATGAATAATATATATATATATATAATAAATAAATTTAATTATTATTAATTATTAAAAATTAAGAAAAATAGAATTAAATAGGATACAATAAAATGCATATTAAAAAATATACGCATATATATATATTATAAGCATTTAGTTCAATTTGATTTATCATTGTTTAAATAGTCGTTATTCATATTATACATATAGCCTTTGCAAACTTCGCTTGGATGAATTATTAATGCAAATCAATACGGTGTTCTAGTAATCTCTCAATTAAGTTTATATAAATTTACATATGAATAATTTTTTAACAAATAAATCTTAAAATTAATATTTTAATTTAAAAATTAATATTTTTTCATATTAATATTCTACTCATCAAAAGATATTAAACAGTACAAAAAAGTAATAATTTTTCCAAAGTAAGTTCCAAAGTAAATTTTAGCAATAAAATATAAGTGATTGTATATTGCTTGATATTATAGTAACTAAATATTATATTCAATAAATACATATACATATACATATGTCTGTTTTGTTCCAGATACATTGAATAACTCAAGAAAGAAAAATTAAAGATATGAAAAAATATTCAGAAAAAAGTTATTTGATATGAGTAAAATTTAATTGATAATAATTTTTAATAAATATAATTAAATTTTTTTATAAATTACTTTAATAAATCATGACTTATTATTTTTGAAAACATTAATATTTCTTCAAATATATAAATGTTTTAATTAAATATGTTATAATTAATCAATAATCATTAATATATAGAGTATTCCAAAAATGTGAGAAGATCATAGATATAATAGAGATAATAATAGAGATAATTTCAGACAATATTTTTCTTTTGTAAAAACTTATTTTGAAATCGTAACAAAACATATATATATAGTATTAATTTAACATATATTTAACATATACATGGTATTAATTTAAAAAAATTTATATTATTAATGTATATAAATAAAATTTTTTTATTTTATATAAATATAAATTTATATTAATTAATTAATTAAAAATCTGAAAAATATTTTTAATGTAATGTTTCCGTTATCGCATTAGTATGAAAAATTGCATTATAAATATTAAAACAATTTCAATGATGCATTATAGAAACTTATAACTTTATACAACAGTTTATTCTATATTAAATGACTTAAATTATCATTTTTAAGAAACATATTTAAAAAAACAACGATTATCATGTATAATTTAAAAAATATACATCAATATTTGATCACATTATATATAGCGAATCTAGAAGTTGCAAATAAATATTATTGTAATAATATAATAAATATAAAATAAGTTATTGTAATATCAATAATTTAAAAAAATAACTTTGAAAAAGAATTTGAAAAATTACAATTTTAATATTAAAAATATCGTATCAAAAGTTAAAAATATTATTTTAAATTTTATTAAATTTTATTTTATATTGTTTGTTATATTATTTTCTTTTTTGCTTGGCTAATGAAAAGAAAGAATCTATTCTTTCCATAATAGTATTGTATACTTGATAACATATCTTGATAATGTATTTTGATAACGTATAAACGTATAAACCGATGTTTACCGAGATGTTTTGAAGATTTATCGAAATAAAAATAAAAAATGAATTCAGATTTTCGTTTCTTTAACTAATTTTGTTCGTGAATAAACAAAATGTAAATTATATGTTATAGTTCTCTATCTATTGAAAATAATTAATAAGATTTTCAATTATTTTCTATTATGTCTTTTCATGAATGGAATTTTTCAAATTTGTCAAATTTTCTTGAAATGATAATTATTGGAGGAAAAGATAATGAATTATTTGAACAAAAGATAATGAATTATTATATGAATTACAGCATATATAGAATACTACGGTATTATATTATAATAAATTTCATTTTATATTTGATACATCGTTTTTGATATGTATGTCATAGTAAATGCAACAAAAAATTCCTTTTTAAAAATATTTACTTGTCTTTTAATAAAGCGATAAATTTTAAAATAGATAAATTTTAAATTGGATATTTTTACATAATCTAAAAACTTGATGAATGAATTCTAAAAATCACAATTTTAATTTTAGCAATGTATGAGATCTAAAATATATATTGATACTCACATACAAATTTTTTCTAGAAATTATTTAAAATTTCTAATGTAAGTCTTGTAAAACTTAACAAGGCTTTCAATAATTCTAATAGAGAATTTATAATAATAAATTATTATTTTTTTTAATAGAATGAATATTTATATTTATGGTCCTTCAAATATCAAGACAAAATATTTTCTAATAACATTTTACTTGTATGTGTTAAAAATTATTATTACATATATGTAATATACATAACAAATAACCATTGAATAATTTCAAATTTCAACGATATAAAAAAATTTCAATTTTGTTATATTACTATAAAATATTAAAAAAAGTAATTAATCGATTAATTGATTTCGAATATTCTGATTTCGCATGTTCTGAAATATCTCGAAAAACAATAAATTTCCTATATGGTTGCTTACAACAAAATTTTTTAATATTTTGAAAAAATATAATTTTAGAAATATAACGACAAAATTGTTGTCATTTATCATTCATCATCTAAATATTCAATTACATACTTTATAAATATTGTAAACGAATTATTTATAACGAAATATTAACTACACTGTATTTTAGTTTGATATGAGATTGCGTATATGTATGTCATCGCATTGTAAATATTAAATACATACATACAATGATGACTTCTTTGTTGTAAAATACATCTTATCTAAATTTCTTAACGCATTCTAAATCACGTGAAAAATATTTTAATTTGAAAACTGCTGCGTCATATATTTATAGACAAATATTTTTTAAAATAAAGTCCTTAATTGATTTTTCAAAAAGAATCAGCATACTCTTTAAAACATGATAATTTTCGTAAAATTGGATTTAATGGCTTCAATTTTAAAAAGTTAGACAAATTAAATTATTAATTATTATATATATTTATTAAATTATATATAAAAGAAAAAATTAAAAAAATTGTTATTTTTTTTATAGTCAGAATTGCGAAGATTATTATAATAAAAATCATTCTTTTATCTGAATTTTGTATAAAAATACATTTTATAAATTTATATCAATATATATGTGTAAAATTTCAGTGAAACGTTACTATATTAACATTACTATGAGCTATGAACAATTAAAAATAATAAAAATTGTAGTTTTTCATTTTTGATCTAAAAACTAAAAATTTTTATATCTTCATATCTGTCGCTTGTTTTTACATGAACAAAGTGATATAGTATATTATATAACTTGTATAATTAATTATAAATTTTTCAAATCTGTTTTCTAAATTTTTATTATAGATTTAAATAAAAAAGTTGTAAAAAACAATTTTTATTATTCTTAGCGATCTTAATAAATTGCAATTTTTTTGCACTTTATAAACTTTTAATAAACTAATTTTTCTAATTTCTTAACACAATTTAATTCAATTTCTCAACAATTTATTAAATTTAATTTTAAAATGTCTAAATTTAAAAAAAATAAAATATGTGTATTAATATTTTTTGAAACATTTTATATTATATTTTATACTTACTGAAATCAACTCATTGACTCAAATATGATGATATATTATAATTAGAAAAAAAATTATTTATATCTTTTATCATGGTTATCCTAATGTGCTGTATATATATATATTCATATTATCGTAATATTCAAAAATTGAATTTTAATGATAATAAATTTAAGTTCTTATCACAAGTGTTTAGTATATAAAGTTCGTTTGAAGATTAATACGATTCAGTATATGTACTTTCTTTAAACGAGATATGTCTCTGAATAGAAAACAATTATATCTTTAACTTGTTTTTCAATGCATAAAATATATACGGTAATTTATTCTAAAATAAAAAAGTTTTAGTTTTAGTAATTTAAAAATTTTTAAAAATTAAAAAAAATAATGCAAATTATATTTTATTTCTTATAATATTTCTATTTCTATTTCTTATAAAATTTATATTTATTCATATAAAATATTATTTCAAATCCTTATAATAATACTTTCAATAATAACATAAAATAAAATTGTTTAATTTAGCTAATTTTTAATTAAACATTATTTATAATTAATAGGTATCAAATTAATTCTTTATATTATATGATATATAAAAAAAAAATGTATATTAGTCTGGAAATTCTTTGTGGAATAATAATAGCACTTATCGTGTTCTACTATTATTTAATAATTAATAACAATTTTTGGAAAAATCGTGAAATATCTGGACCTAAACCTGTGATCGGCTTTGGCAATATGTTGAGCATAATTTTAGGAAAGGAATCAACTTCACAATTTCTCACAAGAATATACAATGAATATAAGAACGAGCCTATGATTGGAATATTTTCAAAAAATAATCCTGCTTTAATTATTAAAGATCCTGATCTCATAAAAACCGTTTTAATTAAAGATTTTCACAAATTCGCAAATCGAGGATTATTTCCAGTTAATTCAGTAAGTATAAAGATAAAAAATAATTATATTTGCATGACTTTAGATGACTTTTATGAAGATAATAATAAATAAATAAAATGATATTATACATTTTATAATTCCATATCATATTTGACAAGTTGATAAAATGTGTCATTCTGATTTTTTATTTTAATTTAAATAAATATATTTTTAAATTCATTCTTTATTTATTATTATGACTCATTTGATTTTTTATTTTTATAAATTTATTTTATATTTCTTTAAATAAATTCTATATATAATTTTTACAAATTCTATAATCTAAATGAACGAATATTCAAATATCCAATATATTTTTAATTTTAATTAGATTTCAACAACTTGTTAACTAGGTTAACAAGTATTAAAATAAATAAAAATGAATTAAAATATGAAATACATAATAGACAATAAAAAATTATATGTTTCAAATAAATTAAATATTAATAATAATTATTTAATATATGCAATAATTATAGAGAGAACCACTCTCCCAGAACCTCTTCGGCCTAGAAGCAGAAAGATGGCGGCCATTAAGAATACATTTTTCACCAATATTTACTACTAGTAAACTTAAAGGACTTTGTTCCTTAATTCTCGAATGTTCTGAACAACTCGAAAAGTATATGGATATTTTAATAAAAAAAAGAGAACCTCTCGATGTTCGAGAAATTGCTGCTAGATTTACTACTGATGTTATTGGAAGTTGTGCTTTTGGAATAGAGATGAATTCATTATCGGAAAAGGAGAGTGAATTTCGTCGTCTTGGAAAAGGACTTTTCACTCCAACTTTCCGAAGAATAGTGAAAACTAGGATAAGAAATTTAATACCATGGCTGTACAATTTCTTTCTTCGTATATTGCCATGGGACGAAATCACGAAAAAGATCGTGAAATTGACGAGTGAAACAATAGAATACAGAAAGAAGAACAATATCGTTAGATCTGATTTTATCAATATACTTTTAGATCTTAAAAGACATCCTGAAAAGATTGCTGAGATTGGTTAGTATAGTTTAAACGTTGGTATTAACGTTGGTATTGGAATTTAAATTTTAAAAGAAACGATGTTGCTCACTTGCTTCTAAAGAATTTATTGCATATTAAAAATCTTTTCACATTGTTCAATTTTTATCATCCGATTTTCATAATCTAATTTGAATGTTGACGATCATCAATTGGTATAATACTCATTTTTTCGGTTATTATCATACTATGTGTAACATAATAAACAAAAAAAAATAATAAATAAATAAATCATTGCATAATGCAAAACAAAAATCAAAGATATGAAAAGATTTTAATAAATTAATCTTTAGATTGCATGTATAAAAAAAGGGGAAGAGGAAATAAAGTTATTTTAATTTTTTTCGAGTAAACAATTATTAATATTTTATTCAAATCTTGTAATTCTTAAATTAATACGTTAGTCTTTTCAACACAACATCGTATTTCTTATAAATTAAGTGACTATTACAAGATTAATTTCTACTTTTAATGATTATTATGATGCGAAATAGAATTATATTATATAAATTTTTTTTTATCATAATTATAATAACATATATGCCAGTAATACAATAAGTCTTTTTTATTTCAATAAAATTTTATCGTAAAATCACTTTTTATTCTAATAATATTTTATAAACAAATAGAAAATACATTTATATTGAATAATAATATTCTATATCGTTTCATTTATAAATGATATGACATAAAACATATCTTACATAGAACAATATTACAGACATTATTATTTATTGACACATTGATCTATCATAAACTGTGTTTCATAAAGATTTATTAATACTATCTAATAAGATAGTTTCATAAAAGCAATAGGATAAGTAATATTTACTCTACTTTATCGACTATGTATAATTTGATAAAGATCATAAATAATAATATTATATAAATTTTATAAACTTTATGATAAAATTAAATTTGAAAATATTTTTCATATTTTATGAGAGACATAAATATATCCAAAAATATTAATTGAGATATAAATACAATTGTGTTGAAAGAATTAATATTAAAAATAAACTTGGACAATATTTTTATATAATATATTGTACAAATTATCTACAAATATTATCTCGCATATTTATTTAAGAATCGTTACTAAAAGTTTTCAACGCCTTAATGCGATATCAATTTTTCTTTTTCTTTTTTTTTTTTTTTTTAGAATTAACGAACGATCTATTAAGCGCTCAAACTTTTGTTTTCTTTGGGGCTGGTTTCGAGACTTCTTCAACGACAATTAGCAATGCTCTTTACGAGTTAGCTTTGAATCATGATATTCAGAATAAGTTGCGGGAGGAAATTAAAGAATTTGAAAAGAAAAATGACGGAAAATGGACATATGAAAACATAAAAGAAATGCAATATTTAGAAAAAATTTTTCAAGGTGAGTATTACAATAATATATCGAAATATAACATTTAATATATTTCAGTTTCTAATTCTCAAATGAAAGTTTAAATTTTTAAATTGTTAAATTTAATATGCAGAATTATTGAAAATTTCATTTACATTTCAATTTCATTATCTTCATATAATGATATATTTAGATTATTGGTTTAAATTTTGCATAATTGTTGAAAGTTTCATTTACATTTCATTATTTTTATGTAATAATTTATTTTGATGCTAATTTTAATTTTGATCATATTTGCAGAAACTCTAAGAAAATATCCAGTTGTGCCATTTTTGAACAGAGAGTTAATAAATGATTATACTTTTGAAAATAGTAAAATAATAATTCCCAAAGGTTTAAAAATTTGGATACCCGTTTATGGCATTCATCACGATCCAGATATTTATCCAAATCCAGAAAAGTTTGATCCGGAAAGATTTTCAGAAGATAAGATAAAAAAAAGACATCCTATGCATTATTTACCATTTGGACATGGACCAAGAAATTGTATTGGTACATATGTAATAAAAACTTGAAATAGATAATCAAAAAATAATATGGAATGAATAATGAAATTAATAATAATTAGAATTTTGTATTTTTAGTGTTAATTAGAATTTTGTTCCAGGTGCACGATTTGGAACATACCAAACAAAGATTGGATTAATAAAAATTATTCATAAGTATAAAGTCGAAATTTGCGATAAAACATTAATTCCTTATAAATTTAATCCGTATACACATTTTTTGATGCCTTTAACGGGTTTATATTTGATGATAACTGAGATAGAGAATTAACATCTTTTTTTTAAATTTAGATTTTATTATTTAATGTATTAATGTTTAATATGTTATAAAATGTATTATTTATATTATTGTTATTAATTTATATTAATAGTAACAAAAAATATTTAATGATATATACATTTAATGATAATAATAATATATTTAATAATAATATATAAATAAAACAGATTTTATATAAGATTACATATATTATATATAATATGTATTAATACTATATATTATATTATAGTATTAATATATATTTATAACATTAGTATTACAGTATATATTTAGACTTATGATTTATTAACAATTTATTGTTAAAAATATTGTACATTTTTATTTCTTTTTCTAAGAATTTTCTTCTCTTATTGCTTTTTTCAAAACTTGTAAAATCTATTTCATAAGAATATACATTATAATGATGGAATTGACATATAATTGACATATAATTTAATAGATTAATTATAAATTATTTCATTATTATCGATAAAACGTATTAATATCGATAAAACGTAATATTTTATTTTCTGTACTTATAATTCAAAAAAAAATTCAATAAACGATTTAGTTATGTGACGATAAATAAATGTTTGTAAGATTATTAAACTTTATCTTTATCATCGAATATTCTTCTAAAAAATATACGTTTCTGATTAATATAAAATTTAAAATTTTAAGAGGAAAGGAAGAGAAAGAGAAAAGTAAATATAAAATTTCAGATCTTTTTTTCTATATAATACATTGCATTCTATCTATAGAAAAGTAAGAAGTACAACTATGAATCGTCAAATATGATTGTTGTAATAATTTATTTAACGTAATTATGATACATCTCTCACAACTCTCACAAGTTTCGAGAAATATATTATTAAATTATTTGAATATTTTTTGCACATATATTATTTACAATTATTACAATATTATCTTGGATAAATTATATTTTATTTTTTTATCAAAATGTATATCATTTTTGATACATTTATAATAATATCTTTTTGCTATTATTCCCTTTATTTTTTCAATATTATTTATTATATAATATAATTTATTATATTTATATTATTTTTGCAATCTGTTACGTTTGAATTCTTATTATCTAATTGATTTTGAATCAATTCATTGAATAATTCTTGTAAGAAAATCATCTATTTATTCACTATTTCAATTTGGATTTATTATTATAAATAATTATAAATTGTAATAATAATAATTATAAATATAATAATAAATATAATCAAATATCTTTTGTATTGTATAAGATACATTAATATTCTTTTTTATTTATTTTTTATCATATATCATATACCATATATAAAAAAATCAATTTTTTTCAGGAATTTGAATTGAAGTTAAAAGTGAAAATAAATAATTCTTTGAAAATTTTTTGCTATTGAATGAAAATATCATTTTTTTCAAATTTTTTAAATAAAAGAGTTCAAAAATCCTTTCCTTTTCAAGTCTTTGTAAAGTTAAAATTAATATTTTTTTATGCTGATAGTCCTGTATAGCAAGCAAGTTTACATTAAAATTCAATATTTTGATCATTAAAAGTAAAACAAGTAAAAAAAAAGTTATTTAAAATAATAATTTTATTAGCAATTATATATATAAGATCTATTTTAATCAATTTAATATCATTATCTATAGATTAAAATATAATTTTAACATAATTTAAAATAAGATGATCACTTTAAAGAAATATATTTCTTGAAGTTAAATGAAGTCAAATGAAGTTAACCGATTTTATTTGAAAACACTATGCATACTAGAGCCATTATTATTATATTATATCATTGATTATTTGATTCATAATATGTCTATGTAAACAGCATTCAATGTGTCAATTATCTTTAGAGAGAAAATTCAATATATTATACTGAAATTTTTTTATTATCTTGTTAATAAATTAATAAATATCCAAGGAAATTTTGAATCTAAAATCTATTCCTTCTTTTTCCAAGTAATGTAAATTTAACGTTAATCAGACACGTATGTTTTTCAATGTAATTAATTCAAATACAATCTTGTCATATTGCGAATCGATTATACCAAAAAAAAATATTTTTTATTAAATCTTAATATCTACATAAAAATGCTTAACCTTGATATCATAATTTGCTATTTTTTTGACGCCAATTACAAAATAAATTTTGTAGATATAAATTAAAAATTAGTAGATACAAATTAATTACAAAACTATAGCAAATTTCTGTAGTATTTAAATTAGTTTTTTAAATATTTTTAATTTAAAAATATTTTTTAGGAATATACACAATATGATTATTATTAATTTTTTTATTACAATATACATATATTGTATAATATATTTATAATTCTTAATTTGGCATAACTATAGCAAGTTTTATGTTATATGTATGTATAATTTTCTTATTTCACGCTGTTTTTGTTTTTCAAAATCTTTTATTAATTATTTTATTTAATAGAAACTGTGTATTTGCAGTCCAAATGATGTCTTGCTTCACTTTGCCATGAGATAATGCACTACTAACATGAAAAATAAAATCAGATAAAATATTTTAGTAATAATAAAATATATAATAATAGTAACATTAATTATAAAAAAAGAAAAATTTGCATATATCATAAATATGAAGCAAGAGAATAATCATTATAATGCATTTTGAGCTTAGAAATGCTTAATAAAAAAACGCAATATTAATATATAGTATATTCATATACATTTTCTAATATAATCTTTGACAGTCACAAAGTGAAACATTATGGCCAATATGAACCGCGGTAGGAGATCATCGATTGTTATCGAAATTAAATATATTATTTTTTGCTTTTCTCGAGAATATCGTATTCTAGTAACGATTAAATAAATTGAATATTGTTATATAAATAATCTTAAATTAATATTAATTAGTGTGTAAAATTATCATAGAAGTATTAGAATGTAACATTGATACCAGAAGTAAGATATCGGAGGATTTTTCTTCTAAAAAAAAAAAGAATATCCGCAGACAAGTTTCTTTTAAAGAAAATTTCCTTTTTTTTGGAATTGTTGATTTGAACCTTCAAAGATAGTTCATGGATTTCAATTCAGGGAATAATTATTAAAAAAAAAAAAAAGATTAGCATATTTAAGAAAGTTGCAATGAAACAAGTGAAAATCTAAAGATGGCACTATAGTAAATGAATTGTTCATCTTGAAGAACAAATCTAAGAACTCAGCCAATTATTATCTTCCACCAATAATTTTAGAATAAAAGAATAGCGAAAATGGATGGGATTACATAGACTATTACATAGACTATTACACAGACTGCCGCTCTTGTAGATAATATAAATAATTCGAATATTAATATAAATAACGAAATTTATACGATTACATCTAAATGAATGATTGTTTTCGCTAATGTTCCATTTTCGAACTTCTTTGTCCGCATTCATTTAAATATATGATAAATTTTTACATTTTGATGAATTTTTATCCTGGGAGAAGTTTAAAATACAATTTGAAATGGTCAAATGCATAAAATAAGGTGATCAAGATTGATTGTTTACAGCGTTCAACGCAAAGTGTATTAATTTCTCTTCCCATCGATATTTTTCAGATTGTTTATTAATTACTTATTACTTTATTACTTTTATTACTTTATTATTATTATTACTACTTTATTACTTCTATTATTTTATTATTATTACTTCTTACTTTATCAATTATTTAATTAAGTTAAGTATTAATTGAATTCCGTTTGCAAAGAATTTTCATTTCAAATTTAAATTATGTTTTATTATCGTCAACGAAAAAAGGAATCGATCTCAGGTTATCGAAATTGAGAAATTGGCACAAGTAGCTTTTGTCGATTTTCATCCGGAAACGTAGACAACGAGACAAATCAATATCTCAATATGTTACGACATTAGCCAACTCAACAATCCCAAAGATTTCATATCATTAAGAATTGTCAAGACTCTGGAAGTTGTCGAGACTATATCTCGTGAAATTGAGCGAAATAAAATCAAAATAATCAGAAAGATAATTTCATTTTTCATTTTTGTTGTTTCCGGGAATAAATTAAGAAAAAGAAATGAAAATGAAACAATAAAGTTATAACACATTGGATATGTGAGAAACAAGAACATTTTCAGAAAGATTATACAAAAAAAAAAATTAGCATAAAGAGGGAATTTTCAACTTCAATTTCTGTTGTCATGGATCCATTAAAGATGGATCCATCGTTGAGAAAACCATCGATAATAACAAACTAAAATAATTATTGATGCAGGCTCGAATTTAAATCTTTTGAAAACGGATTATACTCCAAATATAGATTTTGATGTGGTGGAATTAGGAAAAATGTTTTTTTGGCTTCTGGAGAAAAGTTATAAAAATCTGGATAACATAACTTTCTGTTAAAATAGTTTGAACAAAGTAGTAAACTTTAAAAATAAAGAAGATTTCCTGCTAATTAATCTCAAAGGAAATTGTCTTTTAAACACTAATTTCCTCAAGAAATATAAATGTCAACTAAGTTTTTCAGTCGAAAATATGTTCATCGATTTTAGATATTAATAATAATGTTATTTCTTATACTATAATGCTACATTGAAACTCGTAATTCATAATATTATCCCTTTCTTTTAAAAAAAGATACGGTAACTTTGTTCAAACTTTGTTCTGTTCGTTATTTTGCTACTGGATATTTCTATCTAAAAAAGGAATTTATAAATATATTTACGTGATTTTTTTCAGATAGCAAATGCCTCAACATTGAAGGAAATGATGAAGAAATTCGATGAAGAAATGTTTTTTTAAATTCGGAAAAATTTTGAGAAAGTTGCATTTTTGCAACAAAATCTTAACACATAACAATCTCATAGCAATATAAAAACAATAAGTGCTATTCAATAAAGAAATATTTATTTTGAGAGGAATGATGCAATTTTTTTGATATAAAATGAATCCTTATAGTGAATCGAAGATACATCATGAAGGGAATATTTAGTCGCTGAGATCTGAAAAAATTTTATTTAAAAAGATTTCAAGAAAGAAGAAAATTTGATAAAGTCAAGAAAAAACATGGGATATTCGGATAATTAACATCTTATTGATGTAATTTTTTTCTGAGA